ACTAGCCTCCAAGGAGAAACTTGGTTTCATCCTCTCCAAGAAAGACCGATTTGTTTTCTTGGCTGTTCGTGGTGTATTCTAGACTCTTCTCCAGAATTTGAAGGTGCCGATCTTCTTCTGTAATTCCTGTGTCAGTGAATTTCCTTCCTGAGGCATGCATACGTGCACACGTGCACACACACGTGCACATAAGTGCACACACACGCAGACATCTTAATGAGCTTGCTGTTGTTTTTTGGTGTCATCAACGCACTCATAGCATCCCTGTGAACAGCAGATCTGAATACTAGCCCATCCTGTGTCATCCTCATCAAACCCATTACTGCAGTCATTGAGTCAACCCCCCTGGTCGAGGATCTTTCTCTTCTTCATCAGCCCTCCACTTTCCAAGCATGATGGCCCTCCTGAAAGAATCACCTCTCCCAGCAACTTGTCCAAAGTATCTGAGACAAAGCTTCTCCGTTCTTGCCTCCAAGGAGCACTCTGGCTGCACCTTCTCCAGGGCATACCTCTTTGTTCTTCTGGCAGTCCACGAGTTCTTCAGTATTATTCCCCAACACCACATTTCAAACACATTAATTCTTTTTCTGTCATCCTTAGTCATTGTCTGGCTCTCTGATGCATAAGTAACTTAAAAAAGACCATGGCCTGAATCAGGAATATCTTAGTCCTCAAACTGACATCACTACTCCTCAATAACTTGGGGAGATCCTTGACTACAGACTTACCCAGTACATCTCCTGATCTCTTGACTACTGATATCAAGTGTATTGATGATGAATTAAATAATTGACAGTTTCAATCCTTTCTTTGTCCAGCATAATGTTGCCTATCAATCCAGTGGTGAAGATTTTTGGTATTTTTACAATGATATGCAATCTATATTGAAGGCTGCAGTGTTTAACCTTTTGCAGCAAGTGTTTCAAGTCTTCCTCACTTTCAGTAAGCAAGATTGTGTCATCTACATAAGGAAGGTTATTATTAGTCTTCATCTAATCCTGATGCCACATTTTTCTTCATAGAGTGCAATTTCTTGAATAATTTGCTCAGCATCAGGGGACTTAGATTTCTACAAAATACATGAACAGAAGCTGAATGACAGTATCAATTCCAGGAACGTGGCACAGTGTTCAGTGACAGCCACTGTGGGTGGATGACCACAAACCTGCCTCAGGTTCTAAGACTAACTGCCCCAGGATTTCTGAGAGCAACTGAGATTCAATTTCCCAACAACTTCAGTAGTTGGAAATAGACCAGATTAAATTACAGCTGTTTAATCTTCCAGAAAAGTAATGTGCTTTTCTGTGCTTTCTGTGTCTAAGAAATTTAATAAGCCATCACTGCTGTAATGTGCTATTTAAAGTTTATGCCCAAGAACACTGTGGAGTTGTTGTTTTTATGTGCCATTAAGTCAACTATGACTCATTGTGGTCCTCTGAACAATAGCTCTGATCTTGCCCATCTTGAGCCAATCTCACTGTCCCTGACACAACTGCCCAATTGCCACAGTCACCTTGTCTATGCATCTCGTCCTGAGTCTTCCTCTCCTGCACTGTCCCTCCACCCCTCCAAACATGATGTCCTTCTCCAAGGACTGGTCCCTCCTGACAACATGCCCAAAGTCTGTGAGATAGAGCTTCACAATCCTAGCCTTCAAGGAGAAACTTGGTTTCACCCTCTCCAGGACAGTCCTGTTTATTCTCTGGGAAGTCCATGTTATGTTCAATGCTCTTCTCTAACACCACAATTCAAGGGCATCAATTCTTCTTCTACCATTTTTATTAACCGTTCAGCTCTCAGATGTGTACCAAGCAATTGAGAAGACCATAGTTTGGGTCAGGTGTCTCTAGATTGACATCATTGCTTTTTAACCTTTTGAAAAGGTACCCTGGCAGCAGATTTTCCTAAAGCAACTCATCTTTTGATTTCCTGACTGCTGGTGCTAACAGTATTGATTGTAGACCTGAGCAAGATGAAATTGTTAACAACCTCAACCTCTTCTCCATCTATCATGACACTGCCAATTGGCCTAGTAGTTAGAATCTTTGTCTTCTTGATGTTGAGATGCAACCATATTGAAGACTTGACCTTCTGTATCAAACACTTCAAATCCTCCTCAGTTTTAGTGTGCAAGGGTGTGTCATGTGCATAATTCAGGTTGTTGATGAATATTCTTCCATTTCTGTTGCCACTTTCTTCTTTGTATAGTCCAGCCTCCCGAATGATCTTTCCTGAATATAGATTGAAAAGATATGGAGACAGGATGCATCCCTGATGCACTCCTTTCTGGATTTTGAACCTCAGTAGTTCCTTGCTCTGTTCTGATGATTGCTCCCTGGTCTAAGTATAGGTGTCACATGAGCACAATGAAGTGCTCTGGGATTCCCAGCCTCAAGGTGAGCCAAAATTTGCTGTGATCCAAACAATCAAATACCTTTGTATAGTCAAGAAAACACAGATAGACTTTCTTCTTCTGGTACTCTCTGCTTTCAGCCAACACCCATCTGACACTAGCAATCAATCCCATATTTCAGGTGAAAAGTAAAAGCTAAAGAAGTAAAATAACTTTCAAGAGTAGCAGAAGTCAGGCGTGTGCCTTGATATGAGCAGGTCTGAATGCAGAGCATGCTCGCTAACTTCCTCCTTGAACGTCAGCAGTGGAAGGAGCTGGGATGTCCTTAGCCAGGCTGCCTGTCTGCTTCTAGCCCACTCTTGCCTTCTTGGATTGCCTGGAGATGCCCTGTAGTGACCATGAAAACCTGTATCAGAAATTGATCATCCTGGCTGAGATGCATTCTTCATATATGTTACTGCTCTAATTATTTACTATGACAAATTCTGGGCTCATGCATGCGCATGCGGACACACACATACACACACACACACACACACACACACACTCTCTCTGCATATGGTGATGCACATTGAGTGGGTACAGCCCCATGTTCGTGGGCGCCTGTTCTCTTTAGAAAATTCAGGCCCATTGTCTTGGAAAGGTAAGTTGAAACTTAATCTTCCTTTCTGATAAGATCTAAGACAGGAATCAGCATTTTCTTAATCCAGAATTTTATTTTTCCTGTGCAAATATGCATGTAGTCATAATGAATAGCTAAGGCTTTAAAAATGTTCATAATTTGATAAAACTACTAATTACCTTTTGCTGATATAAGTTTGGATAAGACCTTCCTGTTTTAGAAACGTTCTGAGATTCATTGGGGGGAGGGGAGTAAAAGGGTCAAATGATTCATGATAAAACCTGTAAGAGTTTCATAGATGTTCAAATTCAGGCTTGAAAACAGAGCACTTTTTGTATGAACTACAGTCTGAGAAACTCTCCCATTGTTGTTTAGTCAGCCAACTCATTGCTGGCCCTCTAGCAGGTTTTTGGAGGCTGTGAATATCCCAACAGGAAAATGGCCTTACTTTCCCTAGAGAAGCTGCTGGTGGTGTCCAGAGAGGTGGCACCTTTGGTTAGTCGCACAGTGCCCTATGATGCAGCAGCATCAGAGCTGTCTGTGAACTTCGGTGGTGTTGTATACCTCACGTTGGAACTGACCCATAGCTGACCTTCCAGTGGTTTTCAGAGGCAATAAAAGCACAGTAGAAGACTGCCTATCCTTCTACCATGAAACAGCTGGTGGATGGTGGATTCGAACCACATGCCTTTGGGATTACAGTACAGTTTCTTACCACAAGGCCTCTAGGGGCTGGGCCCTTTTAGAGAGAATCCACATTCTCTTAACAGCAGACCACAAAGGATCTAAAATTGTCCAAGAAGTGGGGCCTTTCATCTGATAAAAGGAAAAGATGGAGGGGCAGAAGGAAAGGGAGGGGGCAAAGAGGAAAGAAGAGTAGAAAGTTTTAAAAACACCTTCACAACAACTCTGAATTTGTGGTTTCTTTGCAGCAAACAAATGACTCCTTTTTGTACAATTGTTCCATATATTTAAGCAATGTATTGGAAAATGGAAAACAATTTACAATCAAAATGCCCAAATATATAAACCTGTTTTAAAATGGCAATAGGATTTTATTTACTGGATTAAAAAGAAAAAGCTAGGTTCTTCAATCTGCAAGCTTTTTAGCAAGCTAAGAAGAATTTTGCCTTAGGGAATGAGGCTTCATTTTCAGGATAAAGGGTGGTGCTCAAAACTATGGCTCCAGTCTTATCTTCTCAAAGTCCTTGTTATCAGCTTTGCTTTGATTTAGGACACGATTCCAACCTCTATCCCAAAAGGCTGTGAACATAGCTTTCCTTCTAGAGCTAGAATAGGTTGGAGCCAGTGCCCCATCCCCAGGACACAGAGAAGATTCCATTTGGCAAGTGATGGGGAGATTTCTCTTTCCTGACTGATATTCCTCTTTGGGAACAGATTCTGGGTTTATGAGCCCCAAATGGCAGGGAGGCTGGGCTGCTTTCAGGATTCTCTGATGGGCTGACCTCTCTTCATCCCAAACAACTTCCATTTGCCACATCACTACCAAAGGTCAGGATTTGTAGGACACTAAGTTTCCAGATTCAGACTTGTGTCCTTGGTATCATTTTTAAGATTGCAGTTGAGTTCCTATATACTTCCAGCTTTCTTTTATATCTTTTATTCAGATGGTAGTAGGGTGAAGTGGTAGAAGGGAAATGAGGGCCAAATAATTTTCCATCGGTGAGAAACTATTACTTTATGAGTCTAAAAAGCTTCTTACAGGTTCCATAAAAAATAATAATGGGATTTCTCTGTACACATTCACATGTGTGAACTGGGGACACCTCCTACATTATATCACTCACCCTCTGCTCTGTCTCACTTGGACTTTGCAACAATGTGTCACTTACTGAAGTCAACATAATGAGTCCTGTTTTCTAGATGAGGAGACTGAGGTTCACTTCTGAGGCCACACAGGTGCCAAAGACTTATTAGAACTGGAACAAAACCCTGCAAGACAAGTGCTATGCAGTTGCAAGCACATGGTGCTCATGGATGTAGCAGGAGACAGACACTTCGTTCTCACTGTTTATCCTCTGGTTTTGTAGCATTCTCAGGAGGATCCCCATCCGAGAGGACACTGCCCCCACTGGCCTTCATCTGGCTCTCCAGCTGGCTGAGACGTTGCTTCACCTTCAGCTGCATGGCATTGTACTCAGCCAGGAGTCTTGCAAACCTTGTCTGGAGGTTGTCAAGGGAGGACTCCAGGTATTCCACCTTCTCCTCAATGTCCTTAGGGTCTCCTGCAGGCCCGGCCAGGTCCTCGTCGATCAGATTGTCCTTCATGAGGATCTGCCGTCCCTTATCCTCCAGGGCCTTCTTGGCCTCAGGATACTCGGTCAGAGCCTCCATTAGGTCATCCTTCGAGAGGCAGAACAAGTCTGAGTAACCGATGCTCTTAATGTTGGCCGTCCTGCGATTCCCTGACTTGCTCCCCTTGATGTTTAAGATGCTGATCTCCCCAAAGTAACTCCCATCACTTAGGACCACAAACTGGGTGACTCCATCATCAGCCACCACAGCCAGCTTGCCCTCCTTGATGATGTACATCTCCCTCCCAATGTCCCCTTTCTTGCAGATGTAATCTCCAGGGCTGAATACGGCAGGCCGCAGCTTCAGCACCAGTTCCACCAGCAGCCCTGCCTCACAATCCTGAAAGATGCGAACCTTTTTTAAAGTGTCCAAGTGTACATTGATGGCAATCTCAGCCTTCAGCTTGTCCGGGAGGTTCTTGAGCACCTCCTTCTCATCTACTGTCTTCCTGTTGGCCCACAGGTAGTCAAACCAGCGGATAACTCGCGTCTCCAAGTCCTTTGTCACCTTGCGGAACTTCATGTACTGCTTGATGGAGTCGATCTTGGCTTGGAATTCTGCCCGAGAAGCATTCATGTTGGAGATCATTGAGCCCACATTACCCACAATGGTAGCAAAAATCAAGACACCCACCAGAAAGTCAATGACCACAAAGAGATACTCCTCATCTTTGACTGGGGGTGGGGTCTCACCGATGGTCGTCAAGGTCAAGGTAGACCAGTAGAGGCTGTAAATGTACTTCCTGGAGAGGCGTCCGTACTCTGGAATTGAAATGTTTGGGTAGACCCAGGAGTCTGTCCCAAAACCAATGAATTTGGAAATGGCAAAGTAGATGCAGGCATTCCAGTGGATGATAATGAGGATGTACAAAACAAGATTCCCAATCCTGAACACATTGGGATAGTTGGTCCTCGTTTCTGTGCGGTCAAAGAATTCAAAGAGCCGGGAAATTTTCAATAGGCGGTTGAACCTCAGTTCTGGATAGTTCATACCCAGCTTTAGATAAGCCAGGTCCGTGGGGACCAGCGACAACAGATCCAGCTTGAAATGAATGGTCTTGGCGTAGTGCTTCCACAGCCTCTCAGCATCCTTGACCATTAAGCCTTGCTCAAGGAAACCTAAAGAAGAAGAAGTTGACTAAGACATCATTGTAATAGAATTTAGTTGATCATAACAAAAAAATATATTTCCATGGTGACTAAATAAGATATATATCTTATAATGTTGTTGCTATTATGTTCCATCAAGTTGACTGAGACTCATAGTGACCCTATGCATAAGAGCTCAGAATTCCCCCTATCTTGAGCCAATCTCACTGTCTCTGGAACACCCAACCCCATTATTCTAGACATTGTGTCAATCCATCTCATCCTGGATCTTCCTCTCCTGTGCTGTCCCTCTACCCTTCTAAGCATGATGACTTTCTCCAAGGACTTGTGCCACCTGGCCAAATGCCCAAAGTATGTGAGATGGAGCTTCAGAATCATTGCCTCTAAGGGGCAGCCTGGTTTCACCCTCTCCAGGACATACTTGTTTGTTCTTTTGTCAGTCCACAGAAAATCTAATGCTATTCTCCAGCACCACAATTCAAAGGTATTGATTTTTCTTCTGTCATCCAAGCACACCTTAATTGCTAGACTGGCATCATTGCTCTTTAGCCCTTTGTAGAGGTCCCTGACAGTAGACTTCCCTAATGTAATTTGTCTTTTGATTTCCTGACTTCTGGTGCCAAGAGTTGATTGTGGAGCTGAGCTAGCTGTAACTACTACCTCAAGCTTTCTCCATCTAACAGGTGCTGTAAATTGTCCTAGTAGTGAGAATCTTTGTCTTATTGATGTTGAGCTTGATGTTTATTTGACTTGTAGCAAAAGCTCCTCAGTTTCAGTCAGCAATGTTGTGTCATCTGCATAGGGCAGACTGCTGATGAGTCTTCCTCCAATCATGATGCCACATTCATCCTCATAAAATCCAGCCTCCCAAATGACCTGTTCTGCATATACATTGAAAAGGTATGGGGACAGGACATATCCCTGATTTCTCCTTTCATAATTTTGAACCATGTAGTATTTTCTTGCTTTGTTTTGACCACTGCTTCCTGATACAAATATAGATTTTAAATGAGCACAATCAAGAGTTCTGTATTCCCATTCTTCTAAAGGTTAGTCACAATTTGTTGTGATCCACACAGTCAAATGATTTTGCATAGTCAATGAAACACAAAGAGACATTCTTCTGGTACTCTCTGCCCTCAGCCAAGATCCATCTGACATTTACAGTGCTATTCCTAGTGCTATGGCCTCTTCTAAATCCAGCTTATATTTCTGGTAGTTCTTAGTCAATATACTATTCCAGTTGGTTTTGGATAATCTTCAGCAAGAGTTTTGCTTGCATGTGATATTAGTGATAGTATTTGGTAATTTCCACATTCTGTCAGATCATTCTTGTTTTGTTTTTTTTTTTATTGGAATAAATATGGCTCTATTCCATGCCATCAGCCAGGTAGTTGTCCTCCAGATTTTCTGACACAACCTGGTATATATAATAGATACAAGCAATTTCATAAAACAACATTTAAATGTACTAAATGAAATACACTCTGACATTTTCTAGTCTATACTCTTCTAATTGTTAAAAATTAAGATCAGTTGGGAAATTTTTAATATAACTAGGTTTTGGAGATAGCAAGGAATAGTGACTAAATTTTTAAAAAATAAGTGGAAATTAGAGAAAATGGTACTTAAAATGAGAGATACATGCTAAAGTGTTAAGTGTCAATGATTTGTTTTAAAATATTCCAGTAAAAAAGAAGGTGGAGGAGGAGACAAAACAAGATTGGTGAAATGTAAAACCATGCGAAAGGGTATTTTAATACACCTGAAACAGTACATTGATAGAGAATTTCCAGAAATTTAAGGATTCAAGGAAAGGAATATCATTGCTAATATCAGATGGATCTTGGCTGAAAGCAAAGAATACCAGAAAGATTTTTATCCACACTTTACTAACTATGTAACGGCATTTGACTATGTGGATCATAAAGGGGGAAAAATTACAGATAACATGGAAAAGGATGAGAATCTTAGAACATTTCATTGTGCTCATGTGAAACCTATACGTAGACCAAGAAGCTGTTGTCTGAAAAAAAAACCAACCAAAAAACAAAATAAAACCACACCAAAAAAAAGCCCAACCAAAACAAAACCAACATGGGAATGCTGCATGGTTTAAAATTAAAAAAGGTGTTTATCAAGGTGGTATCCTTTCTCCATATTTAATCAATCTACGTGCTAAGCAAATAATTTGAGAAGCTTAACTGTATGAAGAAGAATATGACATCAAGAATGAATCAACAACTTGCATTATGCATATGACACAGCTTTTCTTTTTTAAATTTTATCATTCTTTTATTAATTCTAATGAAAATTTATAGAGACTTTGATTTCCATTCATTCATTGTTACACTTTTCTCCCTGCCCACCCCTCCCCCCAGTACGCTCTTCTTTTTGAAAAGTAAAAGAATAATTCCCCCATTGTTTTCAAATCCCTGTCCCCAGTTCCACTCCACTTCGTTCTGGACTCCTGTCATGACAATAATACCTAATCACATATCCCTTTAAAACAGTTTTTCCCCTTTTCTGTTTCAATGCAGTATACATTATTTATCCCATCTTTCACAGTCTCCCCCAACCCTGATGTCAGTCCTGTTTTTCAACAGTAGCACTATGCCGTATTTGTCTGTAACTGAGATATTTCACTCAGCATAATGTCCTCCAGGGTCACC